ATATAGTTATATTATTATTATTATATGTTTATTTTTGAGAGAGAGAGAAAGAACACGAGTGGGGGAAGGGCAGAGAGGGAGACACAGAATACAAAGCAGGCTCCAGGCTCTAAGCTGTCAGCACAGAGCCCGATGAGGGGCTCAAACCCATGAACTGTGAGATCATGACCTGAACTGAAGACAGATGCTTAACTGACTGAACCACCCAAGTGCCCCATTGGATTTTATATTTTTATACATGTAGCTACTCTATGTCTTTTGATTGGGGAGTTTAATTCATTTACATTTAAAGTAACAATTGATACGGAAAGATTTAATATGACCATTTTGTTTACTGTTTTCTGAATGCCTCTCAGTTCTTTTTCCCTGTTTTCCCCTCTTGCTGCCTTCCTTTGTGTTTTGTTGATTTTTGTGTGCGTGACATGTTTTGATTCTTTCTCATCTTATTTCGTGCATCTTCTGTAGGTGTTTTGTTTGTGGTGATCACGAGATTACATAGAGTATCTTATATTTATAATGATCTATTTTAAGTTGAGAACAGCTTAACTTGAATCCACATATAAAAACTACTCCTTTATATCTGCCCCTGCCAATTTGCTGTTATTAATGTCACAGATTACATCTTTTTATGTCTGTGTCCATTAACAAGTTTTGAGTTATAGTCATTTTTCATGTTTTTCTCTTTTAAATTCTATACCTGAATTGAAATTGACTTATACACCATTATCACAGTAATACAGAATTCCGTACTTGTCTATATATTTACCTTTCCCAGAGAGTTTATATTTTCATATGCTTTAATGTTGCTGTCTAGCATCCTTTAGTCTCAGCCTGAAAAGGTCCCTTTAGCAATTCTTGTAAGGCAGTATGAGTGATGACGAACTCCTTCAATGTCTTTTAAAAAGGTTTTTTTAGAGCAGTTGAGAGACTTCCCACATAACCCCTACTGCACCCCACATGCATAGCCTTCCCCATTATCAGTATCACTCACTAGAATGGTGTATTTGTTACCAAGAATGAACTTATACAACACATCATAATCATGCAACCTATAGTTTACCTCAGGGTTCACTCTTAGTGCTGTACATTATATGGGTTTGGACAAAGGTATAATGATATATTCAGAGTTATAGTATCACAGGGTATTTTCACTGCCCTAAAAATTCTCTGTGCTCTATTCATCCATCCACTCTAGCAACCAATGATATTTTTATTGTCTCCATAGTTTTGCCTTTTCCATAACGTGATATAGGTGGAATCATGCAATATGTAGCCTATTCAGAATGGCTTCTTTCACTTAGCAATATGCAGTTAAGAGACCGTCTTTTTTGTCTGGGCTGTCGACATGCGATCCAGACTGAGGAAGACGCAGAGACTTTGGAGCCACGGGAGCCACGGCCACAGCAGCATCAGCAAGCACCGGAAGCATCCAGGAGGCCGGGGTTATGTTGGTGGCAGGCATTACGACAGGATCAACTTCAACAAATATCACCCAGGTTACTTTGGAAAAGTTGGTACGGGTCATCACGAAGGCCAAATTCATCAGAAGAGCTGAGGAGAAGACTAAGGGAGGAGGGGTGGCTGTGTCCTGGTAGCTTGAAGCCAGGTGGAGGGAGGTTCATTAAATGCTAACAAGTGCTTCTTCAAAAAAAAAAAAAAAAAAAAAAAAAAAAAAAAAAAAAAAAAAAGATTCCTCCGTGTGTTTCCATGGTTCGATAGCTCATTTGTCTTTAGCACTAAATACCACTTCATTGTCTGGGTGTACCACAGCCGATTTATCCAATCACCTGCCAAAGGACATCTTGGTTGCTTCCAAATTTTAGCAAATGCAAATAAAATTGCTATAAACATCTGTGTGCAGGTATGTTTGTGGGCATGTTTTCGACTTCTTTGGGTACACACCAAGGATCATATGGTAAGCCTACCTTTGGTTTTGTAAGAAACTGCCAAACTCCCTTGCAAAGTAGCTAGACCATTTTGCATTCCCACCAGCAGGGCATGAGATTTCCTGTGGCTCCACATTCCTTGCCAGCATGTGGTGTTGTCAGTGTTCTAGATTTGGGTCATTCTAATCGGCACGTAGTAGTATATCATTGGTGTTTAAATTTGCATTTCCCTGATAACATAGGATGTGGGGAATCTTTCACATGCTTTTTTGCCATCTATATATCCTCTTCGGTGAGGTATCTGTTTAGGTCTTTGGCCCATTTTTAAATTGGGTTGTATGTTTTCTTCACGTTAAGAGTTCTTTGTATATTTTGGATAACAGTCCTTTATTAGATGTGTATATTTTTGGATAACAGTCCTTTATCAGTTTGCAAATACTTTCTCCCAGTCTGTGGCTTATCTCCTCATTCTCTTGACATTGTCTTCTGCAGAACAAAAGTTTTCAATTTTAATGAAGTCCAGCTTACCAATTATTTCTTACATGTAAATGCCTTTGGGATATCTAAAAAGGCACCACCATACCCCAGATCATCTAGGTTTTCTCCCATAAGTTGTATACTGTCACATTTTAAATTTAGGTCTATGAACTATTTTGAGTTAATTTTCTGTGAAAAATAAGTTTCATGTCTAGACTCATATTTTTTTGCATCTGGATTTCTAGTTGTTCCAGCACCATTTGTTGAAAGAACTATCTTTGCTCCACTGAATTGCCTTGTTCCTTCATCAAACCTAACTTGACTATAGTTATGTGAGTTTATTTCTGAGATCTTTTTCAGTCTCATTGATCTCATCGGTGGGAGTCTATGCTTTCACCAAAACCACACTGTCTATACCACTGTATCCTTATAGTAAGTCTTGAAATCAGGTAGTGTCAGTCCTCCAACTTTATTCTTCTTTGATACAGTGTTAGCTATTCTGGGTATTTTGCCACTCCATATAGTCTTTAGAATCAGTTTGTTGATATCCATAAAATAACTTGCTGGGATTTATTGCACTGAATCTATATGTCAAATTGGGAAGCACTGACACCTTGATAATATGAGTCTTCCTATCCATGAACATGGAATATCTCTCCATTTATTTAGGTCCTCTTTGATTTCATTCATCTGAGTTTTATAGTTTTCCTCATATAGATCTTGTGCACATCTTATTAAATTTATATCTAAGTATTTCATTAATTTTTGATGCTAATGCAAATTGTGTTTTTCATTTCAAATTCCACTTGCTCCTTGTTGGTATATATAAAAAAGGCGATTGGATTTTTTTTAATGCCAACCTTGTATCCTGCAACCTTTATAATGGCATATTAGTTCCAGGAGTTGTTTTGTTTTGTTTTTTTACCGATTCTTTTGGATTTTCTTTTTTTTTTTTTTAATTTTTTTTTCAACGTTTTTATTTATTTTTGGGACAGAGAGAGACAGAGCATGAACGGGGGAGGGACAGAGAGAGAGGGAGACACAGAATCGGAAACAGGCTCCAGGCTCTGAGCCATCAGCCCAGAGCCCGACGCGGGGCTCGAACTCATGGACCGCGAGATCGTGACCTGGCTGAAGCCGGACGCTTAACCGACTGCGCCACCCAGGCGCCCCTCTTTTGGATTTTCTATATAGACAAGCATGTCATCTGCAAACAAGGACAGTTTTATGTTTTCTTTCTCAATCTGTATATCTTTTTTTTCCTTTTCTTGTCTTATTTGATCTGTAAAGACTTCTACTTCCCTTTGAGTGGTGAGAAAGGGTATCCTCGCCCTGTACCTGATCTTAGCTGGAAAGTTTCAAGTCCTTACCATTACATATGATGCTAACTGTAAGTTTCTTGTAGATATTCTTTATCAAGTTGAGGAAGTTCCCCTTTATTCCTAGTTTACCAAAAGTTTTTGTCATGGGTGGGTGTTGCATATTAATTTTTTAAATTTTTTTAGGTTGAAGTTGATTTTTTGGATATTAATAGAAATTGAATTCATATTCAAAAAAAAATCTGTGGCCTTTGCTATCTCTGAACTCTAAGACCGACTGGTAAAAATGAGGCAGCTGTGATCAGTTCTTCATGTAAGGATGCAGTCTTCTTTTTACTTGCTCATTCCCTCACAATCTCAATTCTACATTGTGAAAGGTCACAGAATGCTGAGATTTTTATCAAGAATTCACCTTTAACTCTGGCTACTCCCCAAACTCGTCTCCAGTCAAATAATCTTACTTGAAGTAAAACCAAGGAAGGGATCTTACTCCTTTTTATTCATTAGGCTTGTATCTCAGAGTACTAAGTAGACTTTAAAATACCAGAAACATTCTAGGCAAATATTCTAGGGTCTAGGCAGTTTCAACCTTTTTGTTGAAAAGACCAACCTTTTCCTTATAAAATCACCTTTGTACCTTTGTGAAAAATCAGTTGAGTGTCTTCATGTGGGTATATTTCTGTACTCTTTTGTTCCATTGATCTATGTATTCTAGTATGATTCTTATGACTATATTCTTTTTTCCAAAACTGATTCAGCTATTCTAGTTTCTTTGCCTTTCCATAGACATTTTAGAATCAGTTTATTTGTATCTACACAACATCTTGTTAGGCTTTGATTAGAATTGTGTTAAATAGAATTGACATCATTACTATAATGAGTCTTCCAATCGATTAATACAGTATGTCTCTCCATTTATTTGGATCATCTTTGATTTCTTTGTTGTTTCGTACTTTGTGGCATACAGATTCTGCACACTGTTTTGTTAGACTTATGTGTACGTAGTTTTTTAGAGCTCTTGTAAATGGCACGTTTTGAAAAATTTTTCAAATTCCAATTGTTCACTGTTAACATGCAGACGTGATTGATTTTTATCTTTGGACTTTGTGTGTCCTGCAACGTTGTCAAACTCACTTATACATTCCAGGAGGATTTTTTTTGGAAATAAATTTGGATTTCCTACTTAAACAATCATGTCATCTGTGAACAGGGACAGCTTTATTTCTTCTGCACCAATACCCAACTCTAGGTTTTAGGCTGCCTTCAGTCTAGGCCAACAGACCCTGAAGGAAGAAAATGGTAAACACACGGACACCTCAGTGTTATTTTAAAATTCTGGTCTTCTCCAACTTATCTGTTACTACTTACCTTTCAGAGTGCCCAAATAGCAGCTCCATATGCATTCTTTCCAGATTTCATAGCTGCATTCAGTGGAAGGCAGGGTGGAGTACGCTTATTACCTCTTACCTGGAACCAGAAGCCTTATAATTTATAGTTGTCACTAGAAATTCCAGTCTTTATTAGAAAAGTTTCAAATTCAAGTGTCATTATTGCTACCCATAAGAACATTTCCATGTCTTGCTTTCCTCTTCCTTTCTTACCTACTCAACATCATTTACCTCAATCACTAACCCAGGGATGTACGACAGAGGAGGAAAACACCCAGAAGCAAAGACTGAAGGGGAAGATAAGGACACCCAGCATCTTTAAAAGGCTGGTAAAAGCAAGCAATGCAAATTGTGAAGCATATGTTATAGTTAGAGCAGCTCAAAGATTTAAAAATTCTATTTTCATGATGCCTGGGTGGTTCAGTCAGTTAAGCATCTGACTTGGTTTTGGCTCAGGTCACGACCTTTCGGTTTGTGAGATCAAGTCCTGTATCAGCCTCTGCACGAACGGCACGGAGCCTGCTTGGGATTCTCTGTCTCCCTTTCTCTCTGCCCTTCTGCCACTCATGCTCTACCTCTCCCCCATCTCTCTCAAAATAAACAAATGAAAGGTTGGTAGGCAACCTCATCACTTAAACATCCATTCAACGGTATTTATTGAGCGCTTACTCTATGTCCAACACTGCTTTAGGCTCTAGAGATACAGCCATGTACAAGTATAGTGAGAGAGCTAGATAAAAAGCAAGTAAACAAAATATGAAGAAAAACAGGCTTACAGGAAGCTTATGAGATTGGAAGTGGACAGGGTGAGTGGATGGGTGTATACAGGGCAAGACTGAGCTCTGAGGTCTCATTGTAAAGGTTCATGTATGGGCGGAGACCAGAATTAAAAGAAGCGATAAGGAAGACCTATGGGTGGAGCATAGGCAGAAGGAACTGCATGTATAATAGTCAAATCGTTCGAGATTGGTCTTCGAAGCAGGTAGAGGCAGTTTTCAAAAGGTTTAGGGGCTCAGGTAATGAATTCGAACTTTTATTCCAAATGTAATAGGAGCTCATTTGGAGGTATTTTTTTAAAAAAAATTTAAAGTTCATTTATTTATTTTGAGAGAGAGAGAAAAACAGAGCACATCAGTGGGGGAGGGGCAGAGAGAGAATCCCAAGCAGGCTCTCCACTGCCAGCACAGAGCCCGATGTGGGTCTCGAACTCACAAACTTTGAGATCATGAGCTGAGCCAGATGCTTAACTGACTGAGCCACCCAGGCACCCCTAGAGTTTATTTCTAAAGTTTCATTGAGGACAATTTCAAACATACAAAAGGAGAGCGGATAGTATAAAGAACCTTCATATATCTATCAATCAGCTTTAACAATTACCCCCCCACACACGTGACCAATCATTTCATTCACACCCGCAATCATACCCCTCTGAAATACTAT